TGGCCCCTTCAGTGGGAGCTCATCCCTTTTCAGAGGGGGAAGATGAGCAACTCTTTTTGGACTCTCCACCTCCCTGCGGGGGTCCGGGCTTCCCTCAGGTGGTGGATCTCCCCGGCTCTTCAGCGGGGCTGCTCCTTCTGGGAACCGGACAGGGTGACCGTGACCACGGACACGAGTCTGTTTGGTTGGGGGGGCCTGTTGGGCTCTCGCTTGGCCCAGGGCAGGTGGACGACCTCAGATCTCTAGCACAATATAAATTGGTTGGAGCTGAAGGCAGTGCGCCTAGCTCTGCAACACTTCCGGACCTCTGTGGAGAGCCATCACGTGCTTCTCCTGACGGACAGTGTGGCCACCAAGGCCCACATAAATCGGCAAGGGGAGACTCACTCTCGGGCTCTCTGGTTAGAGGCCCTGAGGATCGGCGCCTGGGCGGAGCGACACCTATTGTCCTTGGTGTCGGAGCATATCTCCGGTCTGTCCAACCACCAGGCGGACTGGCTGAATTGGGCGACCCTGGACAATGGCAAGTGGCAGCTCCACCCGTCCTTGTTTCAGGAGATCTGTCGGAGGTTTGGCACCCCTCTGGTGGACCTCTTCGCCACTCCGGCGAATTCACAACTGCCACGATTCTTCACCCGGTTTCAGAACTGGTTGGCAGAGGGCACGGACGCCCTCCGGAGCAGGTGGCCTCAGGACCTTTTCTATGCCTTTCCCCCGATTCTCCCTCATCCCGGGGACCCTCAGGAAGGTGGTAGTGGAGAGGTGCTGGTCATCGTTGTGGCCCCTTATTGGCCCAGGAGGCCCTGGTTCGCAGATCTAGTCCAGCTGTCAGTGGCTCCTCCATGGAGGATTCCGCAGGAGGAGGTGGTCTTGCGCCAGGGGGTTTAGATTCACCCAAAGCCCCAGTGGCTCCATCTGACCGCCTGGCTCTTGAACGGCAACTCCTGAGGAAGGCTAACCTGTCCTCCGGGGTCATACGCACCATCGAGGCTTCTAGGCACCTGTCAACAACCCGGATTTATAACTCCACCTGGGCTGCCTTCGTTAGGTGGTGCTCCCTACTTGGCATTTCTCCTGCCAGGGCCACAATCCCTCATGTCCTGGACTTTCTACAGAAGGATCTAGACCAGTGATGGCGAACCTATGACACGCGTGTCAGTGCTGACACGCGTAGCCATTTGGGGTGACACGCACAGGATTTCATGCGATTCATCCTCGGCTCCTGCACGGCCGCCGAGGATGAAAGAATCTGTGCTGGAGGAACGGGAGGGGGATGTGTGATCTCCCCTGCCCACACTCACTTACTGTATCGCCGCCGCCCCTTTCTGAGCGCAGGGGCTGCTGGTAAGGCGTGCGTGCCATGCGCAAGCACGTCATCACCGCGGCGAGGGAGGACCCGCAGGAGAGGAGCGCGGGAACAGTGCGCGCCTCTCTCCAGTCAGGCCGGCACAGAGAGTCTACTCCTGGGACTGTCGGTTACGACCGCACCACAGCAGGGAACAGCGGAGTGCCAACGGGAACTGTGAGCGCCATTAGCAGCAACTATAAATTGCGCAAAATTATGTTTTTGTCGAAGTGACACACAACGCGAGTTATGCTCGATTTTTTGCCGATTTTTGACACACCACGCCAAAAAGGTTGCCCATCACTGGTCTAGACGATGGACTGTCACATAACACTCTGCGCCAGCAGGTGGCGGTGCTGTCTTTGGTCTTGGGAGGAGTGGGGTCTTCCTCCCTTTCTCACGTTCCCCTGATCAAGCATTTTCTTAAGGGAGCGGCCAATCTCAGGCCGCCCCTTATTCACAGGTTCCCTACTTGGGACCTGCCCCTGGTTCTCAGGGCTTTGACAGGGCCTCCGTTCGAACCTCTCCGGTCTGTTCATCTGAGATTCTTGTCCCTTAAGGCAGTCTTTCTGGTAGCTATTACCTCGGCCCAACGTATATCGGAGCCGGACACCTTTGCCGTTTTCACCAGGATAGGGTGGTTCTTCGCCTCGATCCTACCTTCCTCCCCAAGGTGAACACCCCTTTTCATCGGGCACAGGAGATCATTCTGCCTGACTTTTGTCTGGGTCCTTCTAGTGATAAGGAGAGACTGGCATCGTTTGGACGTTCATCGCACGTTGTGCATTTATCTCAGGCGGACTGCGGGAATTCGCAGGTCGGAGGCTTTGTTTATCTCCTTCCAGCCTGGGACATTGGGGGCCAGGGTGTCTTCAGTTACTATTGGCCGTTGGCTGCAACAAGCCATCGTGGGAGCTTATGAGGCGATGGGTCATTCGGTTCCGTCAGGTATAACGGCCCACTCCACTAGGAGTGCCGGGACCACGGCGGCGTGGGCCACTAGGGCACCCTTCGAGAACATTTGTTGAGCAGCTACTTGGGCTTCCCTTCATCCGGCACTATAGCCTGGATGTGTCCGCCTCGGTGGACGCTTCTTTTGGTCGGAGGGTCCTACAGAGGGTGGCAGCTGATACTCCCCTTGGGCCATAGTTGTGTTTTCCCTCCCTAGGACTAAGCTTGGATATGTCCCACATGTGACCCCTCCCTCTCTTCCACTGGAAAAAGAACATTGGTCTTACCTGAACGTGTCTTTTCAGGGGAAGAGAGAAAGGGGTCATGACCCGCCCTTGTTGGGGTATTGAGGCCAAGGGGAGGGCCGGGAGGTTCCCGGGGGTTTTGTTTGTTGCATTTGTTTTCAGTACCATGGTTCACCTTCGAGGAAACGGGGCAGGAAAGGAAGGGAGGAGTATTTAAGAAGTTTGCTCTCAACAGCACAAATCATAGTCAATGGAAGTTTAACAGACTCTTTTCAAATTGGAAAAGGTACAAGACAGGGCT